CCAGTGGTCAGACGAGTCACCGTCTAATCAGCTTTAGCCTCGCTCCATGGAGTGCTGTCTACCTTGGCTGCATCCAGAGTAGAATCGAGATTCTTGACATTACCGTGCATCAATATGATCCATGCCATCTACCTTTGTGGGGCACTACTGGCTACATGTAGGTACACGCAGTAACACTGGATTTGGCAGAAATGTGTTGGCATCCTTCCTACCGTGACGTCCCACCTGCCAATAAGTAAGCTTGCCAGTCACCCATATGTGTGTATTCACAGAGGCCACGAAGAAGAAAGAAAGGTTACTTACCTGTGTTACAGGTAAGTAACCTTTCTTTTTCTCCCCCTGCGACGAACAAGCGGAGGCGGCGCGTCCTCTGTGAGCGGAGGATCGAACGGCCACCCGCGCGTTTCCATCCATCCAGGCTTCCCTCCTCCCTGAGCACCGATCGGAGGCGCTGGAGGGCGGATCAGAGCCTCTGGCTCCCGCGCTCTCTCCTCCCTTTTCAGATTCTCAGCTTTTCCCCGGCGAGAGGTTGTCCGGCACGGCTGAGACGCGAAGCGATGTCGAAGTTGGCCTGCGATCGCCCTGAGGGATTCGTCCAAGGGTGGCCTCGAGGGGTCCCAATTCAATAAGCTCCCCGTCCCCCCGCCTCCCCCCGGGGCTGCGATCACACCCCTGAGGCTGCTTGGAGGAAGCCGATGTTTCGGACGCGGTGGCTCACCTGCGCCAACCGCAAGCCACAGGCGGAGGGGCTGGTCGCGAGCCTCGGGAGATCCGTATGGAAAGAGGCGAGGTGGGGACGGGGAGCGCGGTTCACCCAGACCTCCCTCGCCTGGAAGTGGGGGTTGTGGGGAGTTGGAGACAGGAAGCTTTTATCCTGTGCCTGTGTCCCCCCCCCCTTCCATCCTAGGGTTGGGGTTGGTGACCTTTTGGAGGGCTGGGGACTTCTGGGGAAAGAGCTCTTGTGAACCTTTCTTTCTTTCTTTCTTTCTTTCTTTCTTTCTTTCTTTCTTTCTTTCTTTTTTCTTTCTTTTTCTTTCTTTCTTTCTTTCTTTCTTTCTTTCCCTTTTCAGTACATGGCGTAATTTTAGCAGGAGCAATGAACTCCCCTTGGTAAAAGCCATCAGGCATGATTTTACTCCTGCTGTACAGTTCTTCTTTTTTTCTTGCCAGCCGGTTCCTCCTCCAAGTAGTAACTCCTACTGTAACTCGCCCTGTTGCTTGCACTGGGAAAGGATGGGGTTTCCTGGGGAAGGAGTTTTGAAATGTTAAAATACACCACTTTTTTTCCTCCTTGCCTTTTCTCCTTTTTCTTCTCTCCTTCTCAGCACATGGCATAATTTCAGCAGGAAATAATGAACTCAGATTGGAAAGAGTTGAGAAGTACGAATGTATTATTTGCTCCCTGCTCCACTACCCTACCCAAAGGTCTCTGGGCGGCTTACAACATTTAAACTCGTCTTGACATGGTTGTTTTGTAGAGTTTTCCTTTTCAAAGCTTTTCCACTTCGATGGCTCCGCAGCAACTGGGCATTGCGTGACAGAAGACATAAGGTGGATGATACTGAGAAGAAACCACCAGCACTGGTGGATAACTCAGTTAGCTCAGTGGTTTGGGTATCTTTTGGGTCTCTGGGCGGCTTACAACATTTAAACTCGTCTTGACATGGTTGTTTTGTAGAGTTTTCCTTTTCAAAGCTTTTCCACTTCGATGGCTCCGCAGCAACTGGGCATTGCGTGACAGAAGACATAAGGTGGATGATACTGAGAAGAAACCACCAGCACTGGTGGATAACTCAGTTAGCTCAGTGGTTTGGGTATCTTTTGGGAGTTTAATTCCCCACTAACCTCTCTGACAAGAGCTGGACTCAATGATCCATAGGGACCCTTCCAATTCTGCAGTTATAAGAGTTCAGTTTCTATTACCGTACTATTTTCATGACCATAAGCACATTGGATTCTTTGCTTTGCTTTTCAAACTCGTCCAAGCATAGACATTCTGTATACCTTTTCTTTTCAAACCTGTGTTCTTTCCACTTTTATGACTTTTCAGCAACTGGACTCTGCGTGATATATATAATAGAAACCGCAATCATTTTCTTAACCATAATAAGCACAGGGTGTTCTTTGCTTCCATTCCCCCAGTCCTGGTGAAATCCGGAGGGGCTTGGAATTGCTCTGAACAGCAGGTAGCAGGTTCTCCTTGATGAAAATAATGTTTAGTTCCTCTGATCAATGCAAACGTTTGTGTCTGAGTGTGTATGTCTGCTTGCTCTACTGATGTTCAGAAGCCAAGAGTACCATGGTAAAACTGGTAGGGTTAGAGTTACTGATAAATGATCATTTTCAGTTCGATTTCCAGTTGAGAGATCCTTAGCCAGTCTAGACAGAGGAGAGGAAATTAGTACAAAATTAACAATATGACTTCCATGCCCAGGTACAAGGATAAATTCTGTGATATTATCAAAATAATGATTTCCATTCAGGATGGAAAGATCAAGGCCACCTGCCATCTGGGCCCAACATATGCCACTATAGTTGATCTTGGGGTCTTTAGAGTTTCTGTTGGGTCAAATTCATATTGGTCGCTTCAATGACCCTGTCCAACCATCTCATCCTGTGTGGTCCCGTTTTCCTCTTGCCTTCACACTTTCCCAACATCAGGGTCTTTTCCAGGGAGTCTTCTCCTCTCATGAGATGGCCAAAGTACTGGAGCCTCAGCTTCAGGATCTGTCCTTCCAGTGAGCACTCAGGGTTGATTTCCTTCAAAATATTTAGGCTTGTTCTCCTTGCAGTCCAGGGGACTCTCAAGAGCCTCCTCCAGCACCGGTCTGAAAGTGGTACCGATGGAGTCCCAGTGGGGCAAAAGAAATCTCTTGCTTCTTGAGGATCTTTTTTTTTTCTAATGCCATGATGGGGCGGGGTGGAGGGGTCTATTTTTCGTCCTGCTTTGCTCCAGTTTGCGCGGCCCATGTTCTCAATAAAAGGCTTTCTCGCCCCTTGCCACGCGGGGGGGGGTGGCGCGCGATGGGTCGGTGCGCGCAGAAGAGAAAGCGCATAACCACCCGGGAGGGAGGGCACCTCCTTTCCTGCATCACTTTCACCTTCTCTCAGCTCCTGGCTCACTTTCACCTTCTCTCCGCACCGGTGGCAGGTGCCCTAACCCTAACGCGGGCGATCGCGCCTCCTGTCTCCGCCGCACCTTCTCCCCCGGGGTCGAGGCTTGTTCTCCGGGACCATGTCGGGGGCGATCGAGGACTGCCTGCTGGAAGCCCTGGAGGACTTGGACAGGAGCGACCTGGAGCGCTTCCTCTGGAAGCTGGGCAAGCTCCCGGTCCGCCGGAGGTACAAGAAGATCCCGCGGAGCCGGCTGGAGAACGCCACCCTGTTCCGAGTGGTCGACCTGCTGCTCAGGTTCTACACGGAGGAATACGCCCCGCGGGTGACGGTCCGGGTGCTGAAAGGCATCAACTGCATGCAGCAGGCGGAGAGTCTGAAGGAGACCCTGGAGATCGGTAGGGGAAGGGGAGCGCGGGGTGGGGACGGAGGGGACGGGGAGCGGGGTTCACCCAGAGCTCCCTCGCCTGGAAGTGGGGCTTCTGGGGAGCTGGAGAGAGGGAGCCTTTCTCCTGCGGCTGTGTCCCCCCCCGCCCCCCTGCATCCAGTGGTTGGGGTTGGATCTGGCATCTGGAGAGGTCTCTGGAGGCGGATCTGGGTGGAAGAGACCCTTCTTTGCCTCCTTCAAGTAGTAACGCCTTCTGTAACTCGCCCTGTTGTTGACCTTTTGGAGGGCTGGGGTCTTGTGGGGAAGGAGCCCTTGTGAAGCTTTTCCTCCCTCCCTCCCTTCTTTCCTTCTCAGTACATGGCATAAATTTAGCAGGAGCAATGAACTCCCCTTGGTAAAAGCCAACAGGTTTGATTTTACTCCCTGCTGTACAGTTTTTCTTTTTTCTTGCCAGCCGTTTCCTTTTTAATCTTGTCCTGAGCTACTGATTCTTTCCACTTTTCTTTTCACTTTTATGACTTTTCAGCACCTGGATATTGTGTGACAGAAGGCTCCCCCTGTATATATATATATAGACCATTAGTTTCCTCTCCCTCCCAAATGCATGTATTGACACGCAAAAGCCCGACCCTCTCCGTTTCTTTTCGCTTGACTTTTCTCATCACAGCCAGTGGTGTGCAAAAATATAAATTGTGGCTCGCTCCCTCCCCAAACTGATTCAGATGAATTTATCTCCTAGTTCCATATCCAGACACTTTTAATCCCAAAGTCCTGCACACCAATCTTCACATTATTCCTCAATAAACAGTCTTTTATGCCAAATGCATTGAGAGAAATACATGAATTTAAAGGTAACAAAATCCTATCAAAAAAAATCTTAAAAATTGCATCGACCAATTGCATTAGTTCCTGTTTTCTCAGACACTTAAAAAACCCTTCACATCAGCAGTTTCTTTTAACAGCAGCTACATAAGATGTAATAGCAAAGTGTAATGAACTTTTAAGTAAGTAAATGATACACATGGGATCTGAAAAAGTCCTTCCCACTTCAGTGGCATAAATTTAGGGTCAGGAATAGGATGAATAGTTCCTGCCTTTCTGACCAACAGTTGCTTTCTATGGCTCCACTGACCCACCTTTCCGATTGTCCACGCATAGGCTCCAAGGTGGAACTGTGTCATGTTCTGACCAAAATTTAGCATATTGGCGCTTCTTCTGTTCTTTTGTCTATAACAAAGTCTCCTGTTTTCACGCATCCTTCTTTCTTTTCTTTTTCTTATTACAGATACTACCAGTTCTGAATCCTCTGACAACGAAGAAAGCGATGGTGAGCCCATTCTCATTTTCTCCAATACTGGCCAAATCTCTGTTGCTTAGACTAGTGAATTGCACCAGAGTAGGCCAATGGGGATTAAGTAAATCGGTTCCAAGAATTCCACTGGACCTATTCTAATTGCTGCTTACTTTACCATAGTAAGACACAACAAGTATAGGCCCATAGGAATCAATTGAATGTAATGGATTTGACTTACCAAATTGATTCAATGACCTACTCTGGTGCAGTTTACTATGCTAAGCAACACAATGTTGGCAATTGTGTATTCCCCACAATTTGTGGCAGGTAATGTTCTCTGATGCCTGCCTCTGTCTCCAGTGATATCTACCTTGAAATGTCCTTTTATTCGGGCCACGTCTTCTACTACAGAAGCATCTGTTGTATATCTCTTTAGCAGTCATGTCTACTTTCCAATGAATTCTTGGAGTTGTATTCCCAGAAAGTGCTGAGGATGCTGGATAAGATTCCTTTACCCTCCCTCATAAATCTCAGATCATGGGGAAAGAGGGGATGACTGGTCAGATGATGTCTGTCCAATGTGCAAAATTTCAGGGTTTTATTCCTCTTTCCATGTAGGGGTTGATACTAGAAAGATGACAAGAGATTGGAAAGGTACACAAAGAGTACACATATTGTGGCTGCCTGAGGACCAGCAGCAAATGACACCCCCCTGTCTAGCCAAGTTGTGTAGTAGCCAAACCAATATATGAAGGGAAAATTCCACAGGCACCTCTCTCGTTCTTAGTGACAAATTACAGAAGTGAACTGACCGGTGGCTGCCAAACTCAAGTGCCAAAGGTGGCTGCCTCAGCCTGCCCAGAGATAAGGCTGGCCCTGGACTGTGATCCTCTTAAACTCAAAATGAAAAGTTAGCCAATTGAAAACTGAATCAACAAAATGTCCTCCACGTATTGGGTGAGTGCCATCTCCAGATGTCTGGCAGCAGTGGCAAAAAGTTAGAAGCTGCCACTTTCAATTTCTCAGAGTGACCTGGAATGATACTGTATTGACTGTGGCAGGTGATGTGGAAAATGTAAAACAGAAGCTTGTAACTTTTCGCTCTCTGGCATTAAAGGCTAGGCTAGGCATCAGCACCAAGCGTTGGCACCAGGCCTACAAGAGCTTATTGTTTTATGACATCTCTTTGCTGTTGCAAGAATGCTTGTAGGTGTCGTTACACTTTTCAAGAAATGGCCATTTGCCAGAATACGTTGCACTTAGCTATACTACAAGGAAATACATTGACAATTTCTCACAATATTTTACATACATAGTTGCTAAATGGTTATATCTCAAAGTTACACCGGAGGAGAAATCTCCTCACTGTTTCACTACGCACAATAATCTTCTCCAGTTTCCCTGCATTCTGTCAAAGGAATAAGAAGGGTCAACTAAGGAAGAGGTTAGAGATCTCTCACTTCCTTGGAGTTGGTCTAAAAGGGGATCCAGGGGCCGTCCTTGTTCATGCTTGCCTTTGTGAAGTTCCCATGTTTGGCTTCAGATTGGTTTTGTTGACGTTCCTCAAAAGTTCTCTTTGTGGCATGTATTGGAATATAGGGTAGGCTAACGAATTTATTCAAACAACCAGACAGACAGAAAAAGCTATCAAATGATCAAAATAGTACAGAGGTTAAAAACAAGAAAAGGAAAAGTGAAAGCATGAGAGAACATTCTCAACTTTATCTCCTTGGACTTAGGACATGACCGCCTTCATATCAGAAACATTTGCTGACAACCCAAGATAAGCATATGCAATAAAGATTGCCTGTGTGCTAAGATAAGGAAGGTGGGAGAGTAACAAACCTCTATATGAACTATCTTTGTGAGCCATCTTGGCTTCTGGAGGCGGTTTCCTGAACATCTGTGTCAAAAGACCCACCTCTTGGTCTTTTATCTTCTTAATCAGGACTGATAATCTGGACCAGTCCAATAGTGGAAAACAGTCATTTTATTCTATGTTTCTCAAGTTAGATCTGAGAATGCAAAACGTATAGCCAATATGGTTGCAAACAACATGTGTAAGATCGGAAACATATTTTATAATATCAGCAATGTATATTTGTGTTTGATCTTTAAAAAGCATCTTCCTACAGCATAGTACTTTGTCACATATTTTAAAGGAAGGTTCAAAGAAAAAACATTCTGTTAAATCAAATTATTTGTATGTTCTAGATAGTTTTCAAATAAAGCAAATTACAGTCTACTTCCAGGCTCAGAACATCTTCACGGTCTGGGAAAAAACTGGGGTGGATAAAATAATTTGGCAGACCAAGAATTTCCTGCATCTGTCTGGAAAAATTATCTTCTCTCCTTCTTGGTGCATGCCATAATTTCAGCATGAAAAAGGAACTCTAATTGGAAAAAGTTTAAAAATAATAATGTATGATTTACTACTTGCTTTATAGTTTTTTCTTTTTCTTTTTTCTTGCTAGCTCTTACCTCTTTCAACATACTTCTTTTGTGAGCGCACCTTTATGCTTTTCCTGTTTTCCTATTTATGACTCTTCTTACCTTCACTTTCTCCTATTTCGTTATTTCCTGCTATGTTCCTTTAACTCCTTGAAATCTATGCCCTGTAAAAGAGATATGTGTAATAAGTTTACCCCAACATACTAAGCTATTGCTTTAATTCCACTTCTTTTTTAGAAATACAAAGTTGCTCTCAACTTATGCCAGTGGGGGCTACCCAGTGGCAGCAAAACAAGCAACAACTGAATATGAAGTCACAAAATGTGCAATTCTTCTTTTAAAAAATTGAACATTGTTTGCCAGAACTGTATAGTTGGGTACAAGGGCATCCCTTAAGGGAAAACTACATATGATATGGTTGATGGGAAAAGTGATAAAAGGGTTTTTTAAAAACTTTACTTGCATATAACATTTTTCATTATAAATCCTTTAATATTTCTTTTTCAAGAAGACCAACCTTTTCATTCGGATTTTTGCATTCCTTCACTTACCTGGGAACTCTGATGAATGTTCTTCATGGAACCCCCTCAAATGTGCTCCGTGCTATACAGTATTGGGTGAAATATGTTCATCCATGAAGTCACTCTCTGCAACAACAAGGTTCCTTGACAGATTCTCCCACTCTACCTCATGGACAGCATAGCAGTCCTCTTGAAATTAAGAAGGAGCATGCGGCGGGTTTTGCTTGATGAAGAGAATAATTTTGTCTGCTGAGACATTCTGAGTACCTGTTATGAGAATCTGCTTATCCCAATGCAAATGAACCATTGAGAGATACTGACTTTTCTCAACACAGCCAGTGGTGTGTCAGATCATAAATAACTTGTGGCTCACTCCCTCTCCAAACTGATTCAGATGAATTTATCTCCCACTTTTGTATCTAGACACTGGTTCCTCAGACTCCCACATTTTAGGTGGTCCACACATAGGCAGTAAGGGGGAGAACTGTCTGACACCCTGGCCGATATTTAACCTTCAGCTCTTCTTCTGTTCTTTTCTCTCCAATGTTTACTTCTTTCACACACCGCTTCCCCCCTTTTCCTTATTACAGAGAGCTCTGATTCTGATGACGACAGCCCAGAAGAAGATGGTGAGTCTGTTTCCATTTTCTCAAATATGGGTCAAATCTCTGTTGCTTAGCCTAGTGGATTGTACTGGAGAAGACCTGTTGAACCCATGGGGATTTCGTGAGTCAACACCTCGGTCACTTCCATTAATTCCAATGGACCTATTTTAACTGAAACTTATTTTACCATAGTAAATCACAACAAGCATAGGCCCATGGGAATCAAGTGAATCTTGCCTTCTCTTGCTGGACTCTGTAAAACTTCTCAATCTGCCCAGGTGTGGGTTGGACTGACCAGGGGTTGTGGCAGGACTGGCTAATGGGGCCAGTCAGTGTTTCCAGCATTGCCATCTCTATAGGGTTATAGATCTTCTTTCCAAACATGGGTAAAGACTGAGTCCTTTGCAGATGGAGCAGGCTTTAGGACTGGAAGGTGTAATGATTTCGCTATTCTTTCCTTCAGATGCTATTAAGAAGAGTGATTCTCCAAAGGTGACAGCGGGGCAGAATTCTGCATTTCGGACTCAGGTGAGAAGTCCGGTGTGGCCAAAGAGCATTGTTGTTCCTCTGCTTCAGAATCAGAGGAAGAATCGTGTTGTGTTTCTTTTCCTGCAGGGACTACAGAAGTTGCAACCAGGTGCTGGGAGTCAAGGGGCAACTGCGAGGTAAGGGCAAGGTCTGGGTTGGGAGGTGGAAGTAGCCTGTTTGATGAATGGAGGTGGAGAACTGATTTAGGAGCACCGAACTGCGTCAATCTGAAATGGTGGTTGACATGGAGTAAGACAGAGGGTAGTAGAACTGGGTCTCTCCTAGATGGAACAGGCAAATATTAATAGCCACAGTTATCAAGCGGAGGAGGCCATAAACCACCCAAAAGGCAGCGGTCATAACGATATGGGTGTGTGGGGGGGTTAGGTATAAAAAGGAAAACAAGGTTGCCTTTCCGAGGGAATAAATGAAATACTGTAACTTGTTTGTTCCAGGGGAAATGGAAAGGAGACACAAGGCAAAAAGGAGGACATATCGGAAAAAGCAGGTAAGCTGAGAGAAGGGTACACAGTAGTCCTTTGCGTGTCATTGCAGAAGGGGACGAGAAAGGACAGAGGAGAGTGGGGCCATACGTGGATGGTAGAGGCAAAGGGTCTTTCATATCGAGGGGACCTGCAACTTTCCTGGATGTTGTTCACGCAGGCGCACAAACCCATCTGTGGGCCTATATGGACACAAGAAGGGAGAATGTCACCGGTTTAAAACATTTTTCATGATCAATCCTGTAACATTCCTCATTTCAGAAGAACAATCATTGCATTCAGATTCCTATATTCTTTCACACCGTCATTATCCGGGGCTTTTGATAAACACCCGTCTGCTCTTCCTTATGCAGCATGATGCGAGATGTGTTCATCCCCGGAGCCACTCACTGCCCCACCATGTCTGTCCCCTGACAGATTCTCTCACTCTACCTCATTGACAGCACAGCACACCTGCTGAAATTAAGAGAGGGCTGGACTTGCTATGAAAAGCAGGTGGTGGGTTCTGCTTGATGAAGAGAATAATTTTGTCTGCTGAGATGTTCCGAGTAACTCGAGAATCTCCTTATCCCAATGCAAATGAACCGTTGAGAGATATTGACTTTTCTCAACACAGCCAGTGGCATGCCAGCACATAAACAACCTGTGGCTCGCTGCCTCTCCAAACTGATTCAGATGAGTTTATCTCCTGGTTTCATATCTAGACACTGGTTCTTTGGACTCCCACATTTTAGGTTGTCCACACATAGGCTTCAAGTTGGGGGGGGGGACTGTCTGGCATCCTGGCTGAAATTTTAGCATATCAGCGCTTCTTCTGTTCTTTTGTCTCCAATGTTTCCTTCTTTCACACATCCCTTCCCCCCCTTTTCCTTATTACAGATAGTTCGGATTCTGAGTCTGATGATGATGACAGTTCAGAAGAAGATGGTGAGTCCGTTTCCATTTTCTCAAATAGGGGCCAAATCTCTGTTGCTTAGCCTAGTGGATTGTACTGGAGAAGGCCTGTTGAACCTATGGGGATTTTGTGAGTCTCCACTTCAGTCACTTCCATGAATCCCAATGGACCTATTCTAACTGCAACTTATTTTACCATAGTAAGTCACAACTAGCATAGGTCCATGGGAATCAGGGGCATCTTGCCTTCTCTTGCTGGACTCTGTAAAACTTCTCAATTTGCCCAGATGTGGGTTGAACTGACCAGGGGTTGTGGCAGGACTGGCTAATGGGGCCAGTCAGTGTTTCCAGCATTGCCATCACTATGAGGTTGTTGGTCTTCTTTCCCAACTGAGTCTTTTGCAGACAGAGCAGGCTTTAAGACTGGAAGGTATAATGATTTCGCCATTCTCTCCTTCAGATGCTATTGCTATTAAGAAGAGTGATCCTCCAAAGGTGACAGCGGGGCAGAATTCTGCATTTCGGACTCAGGTGAGAAGTTGGGTGCTGCCAAAGAGCACTGTTGTTTCTCTGCTTCAAAATCAGAGGCCGAATCATGTTGTGTTTCTTTTCTGCAGGGACTACAGAAGTTGCAACCAGGTGCTGGGAGTCAAGGAGCAACTGCGAGGTAAGGGCGAGGTCTGGGTTGGGAGGTGGAAGTAGCATGTTTGATGAATGGAGGTGAAGAACTGAGGTAGGAGCACCTCTTGGAGAGATTATATGATTTTATAAAATGGGTCTCTCTTAGACAGAACAGGCAAATATTGATAGCCACATTTATCGAACAGGGAGTTTTTTCATCAAAGCGGAAGAGGCCATAAATCACCCAAAAGGCAGCTGCAGTAGTGATGTGGGGGGTGGGGAAACATATAACAAAGAAATGAAGGTCCCCTTCTGAGGTAATAAATGAAAGAACTTGTTTGTTCCAGGGGAAAGGGAAAGGAGACACAAGGGAAAAAGGAGGACGTATCAAAAAAAGCAGGTAAGTTGAGAGTAGGTTCCAGAGCAGTCCTTCGCGTGTCATTGCAGAAGGGGACAAGAAAGGACAGAGGAGAGCAGTACCATGCTTGGATGCTAGAGGCAAAGGGTCTTTCGTATTGAGAGGACCTGCAACTTTCCTGGATGGTGTTCGCGCAGGCGCACAAACCCATCTGTGGGTCTACAGGGACACAGAACATCACTTGTTTAAAACATTTTTCATGATCAATCCTGTAACATTCCTCATTTCAGAAGACCAATCATTGCATTCAGATTTCTATATCCCTCCACACCATCATTATCCGGGGCTTTTGATAAACATCCGTCGAATCTGCTCCGCCTTATGCAGTATGATGTGAGCTGTGTTCATCCATGAAGCCACTCGCTGACCCAACATGTCTGTCCCCTGACATTTTCTCTCACTCTACCTCATTGACAGCACAGCAGTCCTGCTGAAATTTAGAGGGGGCTGGACTTGCTATGAAAAGCGGATGGTGGGTTGTGCTGGATGAAGAGAATACTGTAATTTTGTCTGCTGAGACGTTCTGAGTAACTTTACAATCTGCTTATCCCAATGCAAATGAACCACTGAGAGATACTGACTTTTATCAACACAGTCAGTGGTGTGCCAGAATATAAATAAATTGAGGCTCGCTTCCCTTCCAAACTGATTCAGCTGAATGTGTCTCCTGGTTTCGTATCTGGATGCTGGCTCCTCAGACTCCCACGTTTCAGGTTGTCCACGCATAGTCTGCAAGGTGGAACGGTCTGATGTTCTGGCTGAGATTTAGCATATTAGCTCTTCTTCTCTTCTTTTGTCTATAACAAGCTCTCCTAGTTTCACACATCCCTTCCTTCCTTTTCCTCATTACAGATGCCTCCAGTTCTGAGTCTGATGACGATGACGGTGAGCCTATTCGTATTTTGTCGAATATGGGCCAAATCGCTTGCTTAGCCTAATAAATCATACTAGAGTAGGCCTATTGAACCAACAGGAATTAGGTTATTCTGCTTCTCCGTCAGTTCCATTACTGTATTTCCAGTGGACCTATTCTAATACTACAAAGTTGACCAGAAGCAGAAAGGTACATAAAGCAGAAAAGGAGAGAAAGGGGTGAGGGATCAGGAACAACATTTTGCTGTATGTGACACACCCTGTCTAGCCCACTTGTGGAGACCCAAAAACAAATATATGTAGCAGAAATGCCACCGGTATCTCTCCCATTCTTATCAACAAATTTAATAACTAACAGCTTGTTGTCACACTCCTGAGGTCAAGGTAGCTACCTTACCCAGCCTCATGATAAGGCTGGTCCTGGGCTTTGATCCTCTTAAAGTAAATGTGAAAAGTTAGCCAAGTGAAAGATAAGGCATCGAAGTGCCCTCAATGGCCCCATGTGATATGTGAGTGCCATCTCCCGATGTTTGGCAGCAGGGGCATATAGGCAGTAGCTTCCACTTTCACTTTCCCACAATGGCCTGGAAGGACATGGCATTGACATCTGCAGACATTGGGGAAAATGGAAAATAGCAGCTTGTAGCTTCTCGCTCTCTGGCATGAAAGGTTGGGAAAGGGCATTAGCACCAAGCATTGGCACCAGGCCTACAAGAGTTTATTGTTTTATGACATCTCTTTCATGTTTCATGAATGCCTGTGGGCATTCATTATTATACCTTTCAAGAAATGGCCATTTCTCAGAATGCAGGGAACTTAGGCATATTGTGAGGTATGAGGAAATACATTGACTGCATTTGTGCCTGGCAGTAATTGGTGTGGTATACAAGTACAATAAACAGATGAATTACATTTCAAATCAATAATTGCTCAGTGCTAACACAAAAGACTAGAACTCTTTTCTTATTCTATCCCATCTTGGTAATCCTTTCTTAAATTAATTGTCTTAATTAATATTGCAGTTGTATTTTTATGATTATATATATTTTTATATTGATTTATTTTATGTTGTAAGCTGCCCCGAGTAGACATGGTCTAGAGGGGCGGGGTATAAATTTAATTAATTAATTAATTAATCAAGGTTACCTTTGAGGAGAAATCTCATCACTATTTCACTAGGCACCTTATTCTTCTCCAGTTTTAATACATTCTGTCACAAGAATAAGAGAATCCACTAAGGAAGAAGTAAGACTTCTCCCCAATCCTTGGAGTTGGTTTAAGATCCGATCAAAAATGGACTGGCCGAGAAACACTCTGTTCGGCGCTCTGTTGTTCTTGCTTGCTGGTGTGAACTTCCCATGTTTGGCTTCTCATTTCAAACTGCTTTTGTTGATTTTCCTCAGAAGGTGCCTTTGTAACATGTCTCTGTGTTTAATCTTTAAAAATTATCTCCCTACAGCATAGTACTTTGTCACACATTTTTTTAAAAAAAGAAAACATTCTGTTAAGTCAAATTATTTGTATGTTCTGGATGTAAGGGATACGAATACGAAGCATGCCAGCACGAGGGTCCTGGTGTCTCTTCCCATCTCGTTGAGACAGCCCAGTCCACTCACTGGGCTCCTCATAATTAGCATGTCCGTTGGTAGTTACATTGTGCCAATCATGGAAGTGGGCCCGTTGGCGCTTCCCCACCTCCCGCTTCAGCCAACCACTCCAGTGAGAAGACAAGAAGACAAATTTCTTGGATGCCAATACGAAGCACACATCTCTAGTTCTGAGTAACTTGACAATCTGCTTAGCCCAATGAGATTGAGCCAGAGATCTTGACTTGCCTGCTTGACTTTTCTCAACACAGTCAGTGGTGTGCCAGAACATAAATAACTTGTGGCTCACTCCCTCTCCAAATTGATTCAGATGAATTTATCTCCCAGTTTTGTATCTAGACATTGGTTCTTCGGACTCCCACATTTTAGGTTGTCCACACGTGGGCTGCAAAGGGGGGGACCCTCTGATGTTCTGACCAAAATTTAGCATATCAGGTCTTCACCTATTCTTTTGTCTATGACAAGGTTTCCTTCTTGCACACACCTTTTTTTTCCTTTTTCCTTACTACAGATAATTCTGGTTCAGAATCTGATGACGACAACGACAGCCCAGAAGAAGATGGTGAGCCTGTTTCCATTTTCTCAAATAGGGGCCAAATCTCTGTTGCTTAGCCTAGTGGGTTGTACTGGAGAAGGCCTGATGAACCTATGGGGATTTTGTAGTCTACACATCAGTCACTTCGATTAATTCCAATGGTCCTATTCTAACTGCAACTTATTTTACCATAGTAGGTCACAACTAGCATAGGCCCATGGGAATCAGGGGAATCTTGCCTTCTCTTGCTGTAAAACTTCTCAATCTGCCCAGATTGGACTGACAAGGGGTTTTGGCAGGACTGGCTAATGGGGTCAGTCAGTGTTTCCAGCATTGCCATCTCTATAGGGTTATTGGTCTTCTTTCCCAACATGGGCAAAGGCTGAGTCTTTTCCAGATGGAGCAAGCTTTAGGACTGGAAGGTGTAATGAAATTTAGCATATCAGCTCTTTTCTTTTGTTTAACAATGTTTCCTTGTTTCACACATCCTTCCTTTCTTTTCCTTATTACAGAAGCCTCCGGTTCGGAGTCCGATGATGATGATGGTGAGCCTATTCCCATTTCCTCAAAATCTTTGTTGCTGAGCCTAGGGAATTGTACTGGAGAAGGCCTATTGAACCGATGGGGATTAAGTGATTCTACTCTTCTGTCAGTTCCATTACTTCCAATGGACCTATTCTGATGGCTGCTAACTTTACTGTAGAAAGACACCACTAGCATAGGTCCCTAGGAATCTGTGGAACTTACACAAAAGCTGACTTATCAAATCCCCATTGATTCCATTAACCTAACATTCAGATCAAAATTTAGCATATCAGCTCTTTTCTTTTGTTTAACAATGTTTCCTTGTTTCACACATCCTTCCTTTCTTTTCCTTATTACAGAAGCCTCCGGTTCTGAGTCCGATGATGATGATGATGATGGTGAGCCTATTCCCATTTCCTCAAAATCTTTGTTGCTGAGCCTAGGGAATTGTACTGGAGAAGGCCTATTGAACCGATGGGGATTAAGTGATTCTACTCTTCTGTCAGTTCCATTACTTCCAATGGACCTATTCTGATGGCTGCTAACTTTACTGTAGAAAAACACCACTAGCATAGGTCCCTAGGAATCTGTGGAACTTACACAAAAGCTGACTTATCAAATCCCCATTGATTCCATTAACCTAACATTCAGATCAAAATTTAGCATATCAGCTCTTTTCTTTTGTTTAACAATGTTTCCTTGTTTCACACATCCTTCCTTTCTTTTCCTTATTACAGAAGCCTCCGGTTCTGAGTCCGATGATGATGATGATGATGGTGAGCCTATTCCCATTTCCTCAAAATCTTTGTTGCTGAGCCTAGGGAATTGTACTGGAGAAGGCCTATTGAACCGATGGGGATTAAGTGATTCTACTCTTCTGTCAGTTCCATTACTTCCAATGGACCTATTCTGATGGCTGCTAACTTTACTGTAGAAAAACACCACTAGCATAGGTCCCTAGGAATCTGTGGAACTTACACAAAAGCTGACTTATCAAATCCCCATTGATTCCATTAACCTAACATTCAGATCAAAATTTAGCATATCAGCTCTTCTTTTCTTTTGTTTAACAATGTTTCCTTGTTTCACACATCCTTCCTTTCTTTTTCTTATTGCAGATACGTCCAGTTCTGAATCCTCCTAGGATGAAAAAGATTGTGAGACCTTTTTCATTGTCTTATATTTCCATATTCTAGGATTTGCATTCCCAGGGAAATGCTGAGGATGCTATTTAAGGCTCCTTTGCCTTTCCTCATTCATCTGTAATTCCCAGATCATGGGAAGAGAGGGGATGACTGGGTAGATATAATCTGAGACAGTATGCAAAAATTAATTTTTTCCCTCTTTCCTTTTAGAGTTTATCTCCTTTGACTAGATGTGGCACAATACTATGCTAAACAACAAGCAACATGAAAATATCATTACAAAGGAAATCAATCAGGACAAAATATGGGAGTTCTACAATGCCATGCCTACCTAAGACAGCTTTTGCAAAAATCAGCTGTATGAAACACTGAAGGCCACCAATCTACATCTCATGAATGACTCTGTAAGGAAAGGAAGCAACAGAGTAAACAGGAAGTTATTTAAAACTGGTATTTCTTTTCAAATTTATTTCATAGGGGATATGAGTAGAGTTGGCATGAATCAGAAAATGGTGGTTTGTAGTGGGGTTATAGGTTGTGGCTAACCACATTGCAGAAAACTAAGCACATGCTTTGGAACTACCAGCAGAAACAAATGCTGTGGAAATTTTCATGATTGTTTAAGACTGATCTCCTGGTACATTCCTGATCTGCCAAATCATTTCATCCACTCCACTTTGTTCTTAGATATTCTGACCCTGGAAGTAGAATAAAATCTGCCTTTATTTGAAAACCATTCAGCAAATAGAAATAACTTGACTCTATAGGATTGTTTCCTTAAACCTTTTTTAAAACGATGTGACCAAGTACTATGATGTAGAAAGATTTTTTTAAAAAAGACTAAACATAAATACACATTGCAAAGGAAACTTTTGAGGAGTATCAATAAAAACTGAAAGCAAACACCATTTGAAGAATTGGAGAAGAGTATTGTGCATAACAAGATAGTAACAAAGCTTCCTCCTCAGAGGTAGCTTTGAGATAGAACCATTTCTATTAGAACTACAATTATGTATTTAAAATGTGATTACAAATAGTCAATGTATTTTCATACGCCTTATAGTATAGCTATGTCCAAAGTATATCGGGATATGGCCATTCCTTGAAAAACCATTCTTGTAATAACAAAGGGGCCCCGTAAAATAATAAATTCAGCTCCTTCCTAAGGAGGTATGAATTTACCATGTTAGGAAGACAAGCAGATTCCTCGAGGAATGTTTTCACTCTGGGTCATATCCATGTGAAGTAAACTTTAAAAGAAATACCAGTTTTAATTACTTATTGGTGCCTCTTTCTGCCTCCTCTAGAGCTTTCCATGCATTCTTAATTCTCTGGATTTTCTATACTGAAACCCTAGCGTGTGCATCTACTGCTTTTCCCTGCTAGCATAATTAAATGCTTTCTGATGCCTCACAACATGCCTTATGGTAGTTTCTTAATAATTCGGAATAATTAAAAAATATAAAATAAGTAAAATCAATAACCTCTTTTTTAAAACTATGTTAAATGTGTGGCATAAGTATAAAACAAATCTATGTTTATCTAACTCTCCATTAAGATTCGTGACGGAAATAGAGAATTTCCCTGCCAATATGAAAGTCTATTTAGAATTATTTAAAGAAAAAAAGTGAGTAGATTAAAAGATTGGTTGGATAAAATGAGATGGAATATCAATCGAAACAAATTTTTCAAAATAAGAATATATCATGGTTGAATTATACACAATTAGAAAGATGGACTAATGAATGAGTAAAGAATACAGTATAACAGAGGTAGAGAATGTACGAAGTATGAACAATTTCTTTTATCATATGAAAATATTCGGATGAATGAATCAGTGAAGGGCGTAGTAAGGAAAATTTATAGACTTCTGCTAGACTTAGAAGAAGAAGAGATTGAGAATGAAGGATTGAACAAGATTTAGGAATCAAGATTTAGGAAAAAGAATAAATAGTGAAGAATGGATGAAGATGTGGAAAATGAGGGTTTTACGATTTATGTCAATGAGAATAATTAAAAAAAAACCTAAATTTAAGAGGGTTTTACGATTTATGTCAGTGAGAATAAATTATTTTTTAAAAAAAAACTAAATTTAAGATGGTATTTGACACCAATAAAATTAAATAAAATTAACTCTAATTATCTGAATATCTGCTGGAAATGTGAGAAGGAAATTGATACATACTTTCATATGTGATGGGAATGTGAAAAAGTAAAAAGATGTTGAAATTAATCTTTAAGGAATTAACTGACATATGTGAAAGGTATATAGAATTTAATCCTGAGATAGCTTTGTTATCAATATTTGTAAATGTGGAATATGGTATGATGACTAGAGAGTTGATTACCAATTTATTAACAGCAGCCAGATTAATAATAGCCAGGAATTGTAAATCAAAACTTGTATTTCAAATGGAAAAATGGTATAATGAAATATGGAATATTATATAAATGATAAATTAACTTGTAATTTAAAGGGCAAGAAAGGAGAGATAAAAAATAATTTTATGATATATGATATATATTAATTTGTATTTTGGTTTCTGTATTTTATGTTGCAGTTTATAATAAATAAAAAATTAAAAAATATATTTAAAAAAGAAAAAAATCTCAACCGCAGGAGGTGCCTTTTCAACAAAGATGGCTCATATCATAAATACTCACACTGGGCAAGTTTAGAGTGCAATCTGATACATGTCTACTCAGAAGAAAATTTCATTGAGTACGGGCACAATCCTAACTAGGTAGGCTGGTTTTAGGCTGGCTGAACCAGACTTAGGCCAACTGAGGCAATGTTATATCCAAATCTCCCCCAGCTCTGGAGGAGAGGGACTTTAGCTAGCCTAAGGAGAAAATAGCATGGTGGGGGAATTAAAAATCACAAGAGAGACACAATTGCTATGGAAGGTACGCTGACAAATTACTACTGATCAGCAACTGGCAGCCAGCAGAGCCTTAAACTCCACCCAGCGGAACAGCTAGCCAATGAGAGCCTCCCCTCCAGGATAGCAGGCACGCATAGCTGCACAATTAAAAGGGAAAGGGCAGTTAAAGGCACGGTGTAGTAATTCCCCCAAATGCAAGCCTTTTCTGCAGTTGTCATGAAACCCACTGCAGCACCAGTTTGAGCCCTCAGTGCCCAGAAGGCTAAACCCTTCCTAGTGTATCTGGTGCAGTCACAGTGCCCACAGACATGTTCCTCTCTCTCTTTTATATATGTATATATACATATATACAGTACATATATAAAAGAGATTTTTGCCACAGACATGTTCCTCTCTCTCTTTTATACATGTATATATACATATATACAGTACATAAAAGAGATTTATGCCACATCTTGTGTGTGTGTGTGTGTTCTTATTTGACTTGATTCAGGGGGATAACATGGGCAGGACTGAGCTTGCGCAAGGAGGTTGGCTACAATAAAGGCTTCCAGTGAAGCCTCTTAATCCACACACATTGTGTTCAAGTTCATCTATACCTGCAGATATGAGAAAATGAGAAAGTGAAAATGAAACTGTCATTCCCCCCCCCAAAAAAAAAGCAAAGAAAAGGCCACAGCACATTTTGGAAAGAAGAAAATGAACTGAATTTTTTTTTTGGCAAATCAATGGAAACGGGAGCTTGTGTGGAATTTTGTGGGCATAAAAATTGCCACCTTATTTGTCCACCATGAAGGCCAGCTCTTGTTGAATACAATGGTAAAATGCTTAATGAAGGCTTACAGGAGCAGATATGCCCTAAACATTACAAGTTCCCAGAAGTAAAAAAAGAAAAATCTGGAATGCTGAAGACTCGGATAAGATCTGATAGATGAGATAAAATTTTTTAGGGGTTATGGAGTGACAAGGAAGAAAAAAAGTGCCACAACTAAAGTCTTTTGCAGTTACTCTTCCACGTTCCACTATTGGATACTTTATTATTACCAGTTGTTAACATGTAATGTGTTAGGTAAATACAGTATTTCAAGGCAGTAAAAGCAGAGGTATTAATATAAAAGCTTTTAATCATAAGGAAACCGTATGACCAAATGAAATGGCTGGCTTTTATACAGGTGAACTATTTCATCTATAAAACAAAATCCTATATCCACAGATGGGCAAAAACCTTACGAGGGTCAAATGTAAAGGCACAAAATAGGCAAGCTTTCCAGTTGTACAGAACTTTTCATCAGGCCGGATTGGGGGAAAAGCGGGGGGGGGGAGAGGAAGTCCATCAGCAGAGCCAGGGGTTTTAAAGTCAGGGAGACCCTCGTCCTTTGGGCGCCTGTCTGCTGCCCCCTGGTGGCTTCCCCCCGCCTTGCCGAGATCGCTCCCTAGTTTAAACTAAGCAAGCAACCCAGTGGGGTCCGAGAGGTGCTTTTGCAGCTGCCTGATCACACACCCTCAGTGAAGTAAAATGTGGAGGATGCAATTCCTAATGGATCCCGGTGCTGCCCAACCCTTCTTACATCACTCTGGAGAAATACACAAACATCTGAGCCCAGCCACCTTCTGACTGTGTGTCCCATCTCTGTTCCTGCTGACAGAACTACAGTATTGTGATTATTTTTAAAAAGCACTATTATTTTGAATTGCACATGGAGTGAACCAAACATACACACACACACAGCTGAGCCCAGCCACCTTCTGACTGTGTGTCCCATCTCTGTTCCTGCCGACAGAACTATTGTAATTATTTTTTTAAAACACTATTATTTTGAATTGCACACGGAATGAACCAAACACACACACACACACACACACACACACCAAAGATCTCAAAATTTGTTTTATGTTTTGCTCAAAATTCACTATAGTTTTTGATCTGGATGCAGGGTAAGTCTTGTACCTTTAGAAAGACAAAGATGAATACAAAATAATTGATAACATTGCCACATCTTGCTTTATATCCACAGGAGTATCAAATGTCATGTCTCGGACATGTCTCGGACATGCAGTCCTCAAAAATCCATTTTCTAAACAGCCTTTCCCAGCTTGACGCCTTCTCAATAGGAGTCTGGATATGTTCAGCCACAAGTGCCATCATCCCCAGGCCTGTGGGGAAAGCATACTAGTTTTAAAGATGCCACAATGGTACAGACACATAACCTTTCTAATTGTGCTGGCATTATTCTAGGACTCTTCCAAAAACTGCTTATGAAAATGTATTTGTGGAAATCGGTATGTACAGTATATACAAAAACAAGGGTAGACCTCTGTTCCATGTGCCTGGATAAATAAGCTTCCTTGGCTATAGCCCTGGAGACAAGTAAGTGTACAAAAGCACACAAACCTTGTTAATTAAAATCATGACATTGTCTTCAAATTTAATCTTAACAGTTTGGTGATTCTGGTTAATGGGATCAGCTTCTCTGCTAACACTTCAGCAGTGACCCGGAGCAATTTACACAAGGCCACAAATCTACAGCAAATGCAATCCGAATTTATTTTCCACACGGTCCTTTATTTCACTTTCTGGACTTCTATGGCTTTTTCTTCAGTGGTGGATAAAAATACACATGTTCCACTAGAACTGGAAGGAGCAGATTTTTTTTCAAGTAGCTGTGCCGAACACGAAACTTTTGTTGTTGTAAACCACAAACATACCGCCACTCCATCATGAAACTGATTGGTGAGCTCAGGCTAGTCCCCTTATCTAGCCCAGTGACCTTATCTAGCCCAGTGACCTTATCTAGCCCAGTGACCTACTTTACAGGGTTGTTGTGATGAGAGGCAGGGAGGAAAAGAGCCATGTCCATATCACCTTGGGCTCTTTGGAGGAGAGGTGGAATACAAATGGATAGAACAAACTGTAAATAAGCTTAACTCCACTGACTCTTCCTTCACAATTCCTTCTGCAAAAGGGGAGTCTGCTAAATGCATTTAGGGGTTTCTAATCTATCTAAAATATGTTTATCCCGCCTTTCTCCTTAAAAAAGAGCCCAAGGCGGGTATCAGGTTAATTGGGGTTATCAACACTCAGGGATCATATTTTCACATTCCATCCACCCCACCGGCTCAGGGTTTCCAGGCCGGTGCTGAAGAAACGGCATCCCTTTCCTCAGGTGGCCGCCTTCTTCCTGAAAGGACAACCTGGACGCTGCCCTTCATTCTCCCCCCTCCCCTGCCATTGTACCGCGACGCCTCCCGGATTTCTGGCCCCGACGTGGGGGAGAAAAGGGGAAGGGCCGGGCGGCGCGAGAGGAGGGGGAACGCCTGATGCCAGGATAGGATTTCCCGGGGACGGCCTTCGCGGGGGCACCTCGTCTCCTCCGCTTGCCGCCTGGGTTTGTCCGGGGGATCTGGTGAGCTCCTAAGAGTCTTCCCGGGAGAGAGGTGATGATGATGAGGAGGAAGGCTCCTCCCTCGCGGGGTGTGGTGGCTGTTTTTTTGGAAAGGGCTTTGCAAAGGGGGCACCAAAGCGATTGGGGGGGGCGGGGAAGAGGAGAGCAAGGGAGGGATCTTGCACGGCAGGAGTTTTTGGAGCGCTGCAAATTAGGATGGGGGCGATGCTTTTATTTGAAAAAATGGGGGAAATGTGGCCGATGAGGGACTATTTGTATCTTATTCTAGGAGTTCCTTTTGGTTTTCACGTTTGCTCTCTATGGTACGTTTGGCTTTTTCACCCCCATCCTAACGATCCGCCTGCAAGAGGGGCAAGTTTAGGATATCCCAAGCCCATCTTTCTAGGGTTTTTTTGAAGCTTTAGGGGGAGTGCTGGAAGTGTTCCTTGGCAATCCGTAAGTCTCAAATCTATTCTGCTGTTATTCTCCAGTCCTTTATGGATTCAACTGCCCTCTGCCCCTGTCTCTTTTTCCCTGAAATGCATCCATTTTACATTTTTGCTTACCCTTGGCTGGCTGGATAGCTCAGCGAGTTAGCTATCTGGTTGCAGAGTCAGAAGTTGGGAGTTTAATTCTCCACTGTGATTCTAGCCTGTGTGACCCTGGGCAAGTTGAGCAGTCCCAGGGTTCCCCCAAAAGAAAGAAATGGTAAAACCATTTATGAGTACTGTATTTTTTATCTAGAAAACCCTGAAAAGGATTACCACAAGTCAGAATTTACTTGATGGCACATTATTATATACTGTACTTGTTTAGTTCTGTTTAATTTTGTTGTTCCCCTGCTTGGTGTGCATGGCAGGAGAGGAAGTTGAACACCTTCCATATGCGTTGTCTCCGACGCATTTTTGGTATCACCTGGCAGGACAAAGTTTCAAATAGAGTAGTCCTAGAATGAGCTGGAATTTTTAGTATGTACACATTACTGAAACAGCGACGTCTACGATGGCTCGGGCACGTTGTGAAAATGGCTGATGGTTGGATTCCAAAAGATCCCCTGTATGGAGAATTAGTGCAGAGAAATCGCCCCAGAGGGAGACCACAACTGCGATACAAGGAGATCTGCAAGCAGGATCTGAAGGCCTTAGGAATGGACCTCAACAGATGGGAAACCTTGACATCTGAGCGTTCAGCCTGGAGCGCCACCATTTCCCTTTTGTGTTCATAGCAATGTGTAATTTGTTGTTGCTTTTTTCTGTATTGAAGCACATACGGGAACTCTTTCGCCCCAGAGGGAGACCACAACTGCGATACAAGGAGATCTGCAAGCAGGATCTGAAGGCCTTAGGAATGGACCTCAACAGATGGGAAACCTTGACATCTGAGCGTTCAGCCTGGAGCGCCACCATTTCCCTTTTGTGTTCATAGCAATGTGTAATTTGTTGTTGCTTTTTTCTGTATTGAAGCACATACGGGAACTCTTTAGAACAGA